TCCCTGCTCCAGATCGCCATGGGGATGGCTGTCCCGCACCTCCTCTGGGCAGTGCTCCTTCTTCCTCTCTGGGTTTTTGGGGTCCCCACTGAGGAGCCCACCTCTGGGGAAGCTGTAGCCTCCAGTCCCCCTGGGCACTGCCGACGGTGCTGTGACTCTGAGGAACTTCCAGCTCCTGCTGATGCTGCAGATGTGTCCTCGGCCTCACCGTCCATCCTCCCATATGTGATGCCTGAGGTCAGGCCATATGTCAACATCACCATCCTGAAGGGTGAGTACTCATACGGGGCTCGAGCTGGACTCGCCTGGTGGGGGACAGGCAGGGCATGGGGGGGGGTATCTCCCTGGGCTGGGAAAGGTGAGGTGGAGGAAGCAGGAGAAGCCGGGGTCAGTGGTGGGGGCTGCTCTGGGAGCGGAGGGTTGAGCCAGGCAGAGGGCCCTGCACGTGGGCGCGATCTTTTTCAAGATATAGTTAAAAGAACCAAGACCTCAGCCACAAAATGGCCCAGGTCACACAGTGGGGTGTAATGTCAGCCAAAGGCTACCTGACTCCTCACTGGGGTGTTTTCCTGGGGGAGGGGGCAGAGGTATTTTCCTTGATTCTTTCTCTGGGTCAGAAACTCAAAGTGCATCCTGCCACTCCCCACATCTCACTAGAGCCTGGCTGAGTGTAGTGACTCCCCCCCTTCCCCCTCCCCCATGGCTGGGGCTGGCCTTCCTGAGCCCACAGTGGGACCTTCACTGCCGGAGGAGGGGATCAGGCACAGGCGTGGAAACAGGCCGTGGTTGAAGTCCTGCCTCTCCTGCTCCTGAGCTCCGTGACCCTGGGCCGGTCATTTACTACCTCTCAGAGTGGGATGGTCATGGTGTCTTCAGAGGGGCGTTCAGGGAGGCGATGCCTGGTGTGCAGTAGGTGCTCAGTACCCGCTGCTCCTTCTCCGAGCAGAGCCCTCTGCAAACAAGTGTAGGTGCCCCCTTGGTTCAGGCCTGGGTGCCCCACCTCACTCCTTCCCTTCTTGTTCCCACAGGTGACAAAGGGGACCGGGGCCTGCTGGGCACGCCTGGGAAGCTGGGCAGGGAGGGTCCCCGGGGTGAGCGCGGTCCGCAGGGCACCAAAGGCGCCAAGGGGCAGGCGGGCAGCCCGGGCGGCCCGTGCCAGATGCGCTTCTCTGCCTTTTCGGTGGGCCGCAAGACGGCCCTGCACAGCAGCGAAGGCTTCCAGCCGCTGCTCTTCGATACGGTCTTCGTCAACCCGGATGGGCACTTCGACCTGGCCGCCGGCCACTTTGTCGCCCCCCTGCGCGGGCTCTACTTCTTCAGCCTCAACGTGCACAGCTGGAACTTCAAGGAGACCTACGTGCACGTTGTGCACAACGAGGAGGCGGCCGTCATCCTGTACGCACAGCCCAGCGACCGCAGCATCATGCAGAGCCAGAGCGTGATGCTGGCGCTGGAGCCGGGGGACCGCGTGTGGGCGCGGCTCTTCAAGCGCGAGCGTGAGAATGCGGTATACAGCGATGACGTTGACACCTACATCACCTTCAGCGGCCACCTCATCAAGCCCGAGGATGATTAGAGCCTCCGGCGGGGCAGCCCCGGTGCAGGGTGGCCGTGGGCACGTCCCATCCCCCACAGGGCCTCGGTGCGCGCCCCTGTAAAGGGGGCCGCGCGGGGCCTGGCGTTCCTGAAGTCCCCTCTTCTTTCCTTCCCTCGCAGTCTGTTTCTGCCCGTCTCCTGTCTTGGATGCATTTTAAGTGGCGGTGGAACCTAAACATTCTAGAACTTTCCCAGCCTTTTAGACCAGTGCTTCTCAAACTGGTTTTGGGAATATGCTTATGAATCCTTTGAGGATCATGCTGAAATGCAGATTCTGATCCAGCAAGCTTGGGGCGGGCCCGGGATCCTGCACTTCTAATGGGTTTCTGGGTGACGCCGATGCTGCTGGTCTGCAGAACCCATTGGAGTAACTGGACTCTGGTTCTTTCACAACATTCTAGTACTTCCTGAACATTCTGGAATCCTCCAAGGATTCTAGAATCTTCCCAACATCCTTAAATTTTCTCATTTCTCTGTCTCGCCCCTCCCCCTTCTCACTCCCTTCTGCACCCCTATCTGTGCAGCTGATGCTCACTTATTCTACACCCAACACTCACCGGGCGCTCACTCTGTGCCAGGCCCCGGGAAAGCTGGGGGTGAATCGGAGGCAGGCCCGGCTCTGGAGAGAATGCGGTCCAGCTGGGGTGGGGAGATGTGGAAGGTTTCTGAGCCTGACGCGGAGAATCGCATGGGACTCATCACATACGTCTGGGTTCTGGGAGTTCAGACTCTGGCCTTTCATTCCCCACCGCTCCCCAAGGCTGATGGGACAGGGTCCCCGAGGTGGGGAGTGTTCCCTGCCTACTCCTCTTCTTCCTGACCAATGTCCATCATTAAAGCAGACCTCTGACGGCCTTGGTCAGGTCAAGGGTGCTGTGAGGAGAGGACCCAGGGGCTCGGGGGCATTTGGGAGTGAAGGGGGCCCCTGTGGAAGGGAGCACAGACCCATACAGGCCCACAGGGCTCATATGAGCACCTGCGAGGACTTCTTCACCCCCTCCCGCCCTGCTCCCGGGACTCTGTCAAGGCCTTGCTCAGCCCGTCCTGCCGAAGGAGCATGGGCCTCAGTTCTCCCAGGCTCCCAGCCACTGGTAGACACCGATGTCTGTCCCCAGGTGCTCTCTGACCCTCCTTGGCCCCTCTTGCCAGTGCCATACCCCTGGCTTTCCAAACTTTAAGGTGCTGAGGCCCTGGTGGGCAGCTCACGCCCAGCAGCGTCTCTCTGGCTTGGTGCTGCCTTTAGAAATGGCACTGGGCAATGGGCCAGGACAGAAGGCACCAAGCTTTGGACCCCTCAGCAGGTCTGGGGAACTGAAGCAGGCAAAATTTCAGGTCAGTCAGGAGGACCCTCCTCTGAGCCATGTTGCCAAGAGAGGTATTGGGAGAGACCCAGGCCAAATAAGGGACATCAGGCTTTCTGTACCTTCTCCCACTCCCAGGGTGGGGCAGCCTGGCAAGCCCCGGCCTTCCTCTTCTCCCACCCACGTGGCCTGACCCTCTTCTCAGAAGGAGGCAGCCTCCACCCATTGGTGCTTATGCCGACTTTGGGCAGAGGGGTCTGGTGGTGGTCTCTGGTGCTCACTCACAGCCGAGGGAGCCATGGCTGTGTGGCTGGTGATGGCAGCCGGGCCTGACCAAGTGGAAAGGCCGGTGCTATGCAACCACTCCCAGCCCATCTGCACCCTGCCCTGCTTGTCCAGCGTGATTAAAGTTTTTGTGTCTTCTTGGAGTTTCAGTCTGGTTCTTTCTGCTTGGTGCCCTTTTCCCACCCTGAGAGGCCAGCCAGTCCTGGTCCCCCTGGGACCCAGATCTCTGAAGAGACTGAGGGAGCCCAGAGCTCCACTTTATGGGCTCCCCATCCACAAAGAAACCAGCCCCCTGCATCACTCAGGCATCCGCGTGCCTTAGAGTTAGCAGAACCAGCTCAGAGTCTGCTATGTGACACCCTGGCTATGGCCTCAGGAAAGTCCCCACTTCTCTGAGCCTCAGTTCCCCGTCTATAAAATGGGGATGGCCATCAGGACTAAGAGAGAGGTTGCCTGGTGAGTGCTACGTTCATCCTTTGAACCACACCTACTGAGCACCTGCCGCGTAGTGTGTCCCGCTAGGTGCAGAGGCTGCAGTAGGGGTCACAACCCATTGCCTCTCCTTGGAGAGCATCCATGGAGCTTACACTCTGGTCAGGTACTCAGAAGTTCTGGACAAACCACAGGCTCTCATCTGGGGATTCTGTCTTGTGTGTGTTGTTTAATATTTACAAGAAAACTGTCGATATTCAATGGAGGAAAACAGACACTACCACACTACATGGGCTTACTTTCTAAGCTAGCATGGTGGCTACTCACACACATGTATCTGAAATAATTCATGTCAACTGTCCTTGATGCATGCGCATCCTATGCTGCTGTGTTTGATGGCTTCCTGGGCATCGTGTGGAAGAATATTCTATAAAGAACAAACCACCATAACTGTCCCAGGATTCAGCAGAGCCCAGCGGCCAGCCCAAGCTAGAGTGGACACGAGTCTGTTTCCTCGGAGCCCAGCTGGCCACTGAAGGAGGTGTTCCCTGCCCCTGAACACCTTGCAGCTCTCCCCTAGGAGGCCCCTAACAAGCCCCTACCCATGGGCGAGATCTCTCAGCACACTCTGGGCCCACGCTGTTTATGCATCGTCAACCTGACTAGCTGCCTGCTCTGCCCTGGTGGTAAAGGCTGTCTCTGGGACCAGGTAGCAGCCTTTGCTCATGGACGTCCTGCAGGTAGGTGGTTTGCTGATTGCTGAGATAGCAAAGCTTTTGAAACTGCTTGTCAAGCACCTGCAGGAGTATTAAAGTTTGTCCTTTGCCAAAGGTCCCAGATATGTCCAGGCCACATTCGGCCACATTAGCCCGAGGTGGACAGCCCCTACGTTGTCTCATCTGACCTTCTGCAAACATTTCTCCCACCCCTGGTTCAGATGCGGTCTCTAGACTCTCTGGGCCAGTTTCCCCTGCAGGATCCCAGTTCCCGACTTGGTGGCACAGCCTAGATGTATATTAAGAACCATTAGATCTTTGTGATGGAGACTCTCCTAGCAAGCAAGGTCTTGGTTGGGGTTGGGTAAGTGTCCCCCAAGCCTGCCACCAGGTCTGAGGGGATAACATCCCCCAGCAGAACTGCAAAGCTTAGTCCTGCTGGCTTCATTGAGATGGTGAAATGCCCACATAGCCACCTCCTCGCCTTGGGGCCATCTTTTTAATTAAACAAATGATGTGCTCCCTCCGAAATGTTAAGTAAGGAACAGGGAAGGGAAAAGGGAGGAGGGCCAGGAGGAGAAGCAGCCCATGAAATGGAAAGTACCCTAGACTGAGAATCAGGCGACCTCACCCCACTTTGCCATTGCTTGGTTGGGTAGCCTGGGGAAAATGCAGGAAATATTGAGAAGGAAAGGGTGAGCAAACAGTGATCTGAGCTGAAACCAGGGGTCGAGCTGGTACAGTGTCCCTGGGCGTGCTGTCTGGAGAGATGGGCTGGATCCATTCCATGGGCGTGGGTAGGGTGTGATTGGAAGCAGTCAGCCTTCCTGGGAAGAGGATCCATACAAAAGCTCCTTCTTCTGCCACATGGAAATACAGGGAAGAGAGAAGAGTATGCTGGAGGGGGTGATCAGGGAAAGGTTCTTAGTGGAGGGGCCATTTAATCAGGGCCTTGGAAGATGAATAGGACCTTGAAAGGCACATCTTATGGGGAAAGGAAACAGTGGGATGAAAGAGTCAGAGGTGGGATAATACAGTCTAAGTTCTGGATAGTGGGAGGGACCAGTGTGCTAGATAAATGTTTGGAAAGGAGGGAGGGAGGGAGGGAGGGAGAGAGAGAGAGAGAGAGAGAGAGAGAGAGAGAGAGAGCGAGCGAGCATGAGCGAGCAGGATGGGATTTGAGACTGGAAAGGTAGAGGCCCAGCTATGAAAGGCTTTGAACGTCAGGCTAAGTCTGGATCTCCTAGGTGTTAGGAAGCTGCTGGAAGGTTCTGAACAGAGTAGGTTACTGGTTAGAGCTGATTTAAGAGGCAGATCCCTCTGCTGGCCAGGTGGAGCATGAATTATAGAGGGCAAGACTGGAGGCAGTGACGGGGCTGTGCTGTGGTCCAGGGGAGGACATGGGAGGCCTAGAAACTGGGTGAATTGTGGATGCCATCCAGGAGGAGAGGGCCGTGTCCCTCCTGCGGCCTCCTTGAAGGAAGCAGGAAATTTACTAGCAGAGGGGTGAGAGGAGGTAGCCAGGTGTGAGTCCAGCTCGGGCAAAAGGTCTACCAGTCTGTGTTGTTTCTCTAAGATTTTTTTCTGACAGCAGGAGGAGGGCAGGTCTGGGTGCAGGAGGTGGGCTTCTGGGCCACCTCTGCCCAGTGAGTCACCTGATTGGCTTGAGGACTGGAGGGTGCTGGGTAACTTGTCTAGCCTCTCTGGACCCCCTCACTGTCTGTATCTGTCACATGAGATTAAAAATCCCTCCTCTCTTGCCCCCATTGAGAGGTATCCAAGGCTATATGCTTCAGGGGATATCCAAGGCTATATGCTTTGGGGGTATCCAAGGCTATATGCAGTAACTGTATTTTCAGAACCTCAGATTATGATCTATGGACTAACAATGGGGCAGAAGGTGTAAAAATCACTGGTGACTGTTCCAGAAATAAATGAAGTGCATGTGACAGGGGCTTGGAAAGTTTCAGAGAAGCTCAGATTTCAGAGCATGTGGGCTCTGGAGCCAGGCCGCTGGTGGTCTTCACGGACCACCTCCTGGCTCAGAACAGACAATGTTGGTCTCCTGTACTTGTGACCTGGGCTTTTTCACATCTTCCCTGCAAGTCTCGATTTGTTCCTAGTGAGGACTGAATGTGATGTGTTTCCTGCATTCTCAGTGGCTGGCACATAGTGGGTGCTCAAAAGAGCATTTATTGGATGAATGGCTCGCACTGAGCATTAGTGGGAGAGGAGCTGTGGGAAGCAAGAACCAGAAGTTGAAATCATGCAACTTTCCTGCCCCTTCTCCTCCTGCAAGCTCCAGGCCCCTCCCAGTAGCCACATACTGCCACGTGTACCGCTGGAGGAAGGGAAAAACATAGGCAGAAACTCAGCAGGACCAGAAACAGATGGCAGGAACATTATGGGTGGGGCCAAGTCGAGGAGAACCGAGGCCAGCGGGCAGGAGCCAGAGAGGAAGGAGGGATTTCCATGACACGAGTCAAGAGCGCGTGGGGCCAAGCCACATGGCTGAGCCTCTGGCCTGCAAACCCAGCAGGACTGGAGGCTGGGGTAGCCAGGAGCTAAGGTGTCTGCAGGGCAGGGTCAGGAAGGGATATGAAGTTGCAGCCTGGAGGTGGTAGTGTGGGCTGGAGGAAGTAGTCATTGGGGTCCAGGCACACAGAGGAAGCAGGGGACCCTCTGCAGGACAGCAGAAGGGTGTGGGTGGGGAGGGGTTGTGGGTGGCTGACCTTCATCTGGTTGACTGCTATTCACCACTGCGGGGTATGAATCGACACCACAAACTCAGATGCACATGCAAGAGAACTTGCTTTATTTCTCCACGACTACATTTAATTTCCATTAGGCACTTCCATTCTGCTGAAATGAAAGAAATTATGCTTTTGACTAGCTGGGGATCCTCTCCCACCCTGAGGGAAACTGGTCTAACAGCGAAGCTCATTTTTGCGGGGCCTCCAGGTCGTGATCCCTCTTGGGATATCCAGGTCCTCTCTGCAGAGGCACTCACTTCACAAATTCTGTGTCCCTCCGTGGGCCATCTGAGTCCAGCCCCGTCTACCTGGATACACTGTATGGCCATGAGTGGAAGGGCCAGGACCTACTTGGGCCAGGAATCCCAACACTGACACATTCCTTGCTTTCTCTTGCCCACCGTCCTCTGGGGGCATCTTGAATGTTGAGAAGAGGGGACTGTGTGTCTACTTAACGTCCTCTCCCAAAGCTTTTGGCTGGGCGCACAGATTCTCTTTTGTTTCGAAACTTAAAAACCTGGAAAAGACTCCTTTCCTCCCTCCGTTTTTGCTACATGTTCCTTCTGTGTTCGTTAGGATGCTTTTAGGTGCAAGGAACACATATCGACCTCAAAAAGCATAAAGGAAAAATAACCCTATGTCCCAATGTAGGGCAGAGCCAAGACTGGTTCATTCAGCCGCTCAGCAACATTACTGAACACCCGGGTTTGTCCTGTATTTCCACTAGGCACCTTTAACGAAACAGCTCTGCTCTTAGGTCAGTTTCCCTGAGAACTACAAGACGGCAGCCACAAGATGGTGGCCACAAAATTGCTGTCCCAGTTCAGCTGTCACATCAAACTTGATGAGGGCCAGTGAGAGAGGAATCAGATTCTTTCATCCAGCAGCTTCTTCTCACTTTTCATTGGACAGAACTGGTCATATGACCACATATAACCCAATCTCTGGGAAGGAGAATAGGATTATGGGAAGCAAGATTTATCTCTGAACTTCCAAGCAAGACCAAAGGGGTTATGGGCAAGAAGCCGTTAAGAGTACAGCTGGTTCATTTTTCATCAGAATTCTTTGGCCACATTATCAGATGTGGCTATCTGTGTCGACCACCATATCTTGATTCTAGGAAGCTTTCTCAAACTTAGAGGGTGCCCTTGGTCCCAACTGTCACCTAATTACAGTGCTTATCAGTTGTCAGCCCTGCCCATTGGGCTTCATTGGCGAATGAATGAACACATAATACCTGAA